TATCGCTCTCCATATTTAAAAGGGCACCAACCAAAAACTACTGCGTAGAATTAATTGGAATTTTTCACACACAAGCCTTGCTACATGAGCTCTCAAAGCATATAAAAATTATACGGCTTAAAAGTGAACTTGGGTGCAAAAGAATACAATTAAATCCTCTGTCGGGAAAAAACGAAATGACTTTCCGAACAACCCGATATATTCTTATAGTGATGGTTAACTCAATACTCAATCCAAAATAACTCGAGTTGCAGTTGCACCTGAGTGACAAGTCGAAATTTTTTAAAAAAAGATTATGTTAGGTTCTTCTATGCCTTCATACGTAAGCGTATGCCAAAATTGTTCCAAGTCTGATGAATTGTTCCGATTCTGGTGCTGTATCTGAGATTTTTCTCAACTAATATTTGCATTTCGGTAGTGTAAAGCGAATGAAGTTCTTCAAAATTAAAGTTAAAAGTCGTACTTAAGAATCACAATGAGTGAAGGGCAACTATTTAATTTATTTTTAATGCCTATAATTACAGTTACTTAAAATATAACAATGTAGTTAAGTTTGCCTTGCATAAAAAAGTAAACTTTTATGTAACAACAACATTGCTAATGTCTTAATCCTAATAGTAATTATAAATTCTTGTTATGTAAGTGAAGTATTTTCTTATCGTTCAGAATGTGAACGTTTCTTTTAATTAAGTGGAAAATATTTTAATTAAATCCTTGGATTTCATCTGGTAATTAATTAATAAATTGTATTTCTGGTGATGGCAGTTTGCTAAATGGAAACCTGAAACATTATTTAATTAATAACGAAAATAATTGATACTGCAAATTTACATTTCCTTATTTCTTTTATATTATTTTTTGTTCCAACTCATATTTATAAGAAACGCACTTAAATACATATATGGTATGTATATGTTATATCTTGATTTTATTAAGTTTGAGATAACATAAACTTATTATGCCCAACTAATCTTTGTAAATTCTGTAGAGATAGTAACTGGCTAATTGGTCGATACGTTGCAAGTTTTAAATATTAATAAACCCTTTTAAATGTTACTATCGTCTTGGAGAGTGGTTTCTTTGTAATTCAACATATTTAAGATAATACTATTAACTTCTGAATAAAACAGAAGATAATAAGTTTATTATTGAGAATCAAAATACATCTGAGGGATGAATGTCCCTGTACCAGTATTTGTAGCTTCTTATTTTGATGCCATGCCTGTTTAGTTAAATTTGTGAGAAAGTCTAATATGAGAAAAGTTTTATTGTTTTTGATTTATGAAATATTTATCTATCAAATACTTATATCTAACATATACCTAAAAGGAATTGCGAAAAGTGAATACCGTAATCGTTTTACGCTGTTTCATCGCGGATTGTTCTCTGAAGAGTTCTTAATTTTTTTTATATTAAACGAAACAAACTGATGTGATATACTCGAGGGAGAAAAAAAAACTTTTCTTTTTACCTCAGCGGTAATGGTTTCGAAGTGTAACTGCTATTCTTCTGTCCAATTTCTAAACTTTGTCTTTAATAAAAATCGGGAGAACAGAACGTGTAGTAGCGCCGTCTTCTCTGACCTGTCCCACCCTGCTCCCGAATAAATTCAGCAGTTTTTCTTTCACGTTAAACTTAAGCAAGAACGTTTTTATGTAGATTTATTAGTTGCCATTTTCTTGTGAAAAATAAAGCGACAAGGCCCACGGGAGCATGCCTTATTGAAAAATATATTCCGTTCATAAATCCTTGTTTACTCCCACTACAGTCGCAGGATAAGCAAATGGACATTCAATGTTTTTACACGTTGCCACGGTTGACGGCATTGCTAAAGGATTTATGACATGAATAATAAGTAATTTCTTCGAAATGCTGTACATTTTCAGTCGTCTTAAGACGGATGTGCAAATCGAAAACGATAGCTCAATCTATCTTAAATTTTACTCACTTTATTTACGAGTTTTACTTATATTTTGTACTTTATTATCAAACTTAAAGCAACAATAGAACATTTATCTTTCTCCATTGATTTGTGCTTTTTGTAATTTAAAAATGTCTTGTACTTTTCAAGATTACTTTCTTTTTAAAACAGTAACGTCCGCCAGTGTAGGTAGAAACAGTTTCATAAGATTTAACATAATCCAATAGGTACTAATATAGTTGAAATATGCTTTTGGATTAACGCAACATGGATCAAGAGAACCTAACAAGATAAATTTTAACTATTTATTTGATAAATCTTTGAGAATAGATTGGGTTAGGTTAGGTTGTAAGTTTCCACGCACAATCTGTCCAAAAAATACGCAACCTGAGCTTTAACACTTTCAAACATCAGTGTCTGTTAAACCTTTTAGAGAAAGCATATTAGGTACATCTAGCGAAGCCAAAAAGGAATTTTTACTTTTGCCGATTGACGATTGTTCAACAGAACAACGAGCCAATATCTAATTCTTATTGTACCTTGTGAAAAACTCTCAGGAAATTGTTGAAATCTTGAAGGTTATTTATGGAGATAACTTCTCAGGGGGTTATTTATGGAGATAACTCACTAGAGAAAATGATCCCTTTGAGATGAATAAGCATTTCAGTAAAGATTGCGAAAACTGTAAGGATGATGCAAGGTCAAGACAACTCTCGACCTCATGTTTTGATGAAAGATTGAGCGCTACAGAGCAATGGATGACATCCTCATAAGATTTGGTTTTGTGCGTCGTCAAAAATTGCTTGTTGCTTATGCCATCAGAATATACTTCTTAGAATTGATAAAAATCTTTGATGAAGAGATTATTTTGCATATTTTAAGACTGGGATGATGCAAGGTGAGAACAACTCTCAATCTCAATCTCAATTCTCATAAAATTAAAGACTACGGGGATTATGTAAGGTGAGAACAACTCTCAATCTTAATTCCCATAAAACTAAAGACTGCAGAAATGACGCAAAGTGAGAAGAACTCTCAATCTCAGTTCTCATAAAATTGAAGACTACGGGGATGATATGAGGTGAGAACAACTCTCAATCTTAATTCCCCTAAAACTAAAGACTGCAGAGATGACGCAAAGTGAGAACAACTCTCAATCTAATTCTCATCATACCGTCTTTATGAACCCACCTTGTTTGCTTTCTCTCCCATGAGTTGAAGATAATCATTCCCGGGGTTATTGGGTTAAAAAGCTTATGTTTAGGTATGCAGGGGCCCTGTATCATGGGGGAGCCCAGGGAGAACTCTCCCAAACTTCCTTATGGTCAGTAAGATATGTAAATAAAATGCTACTAGCTCGGTTCAGTTTTGGACAGACTATGTATTATTATTCTTTTCCCAATAGTCCAATTTTTGAAAAAATGTTTTTTATTTCCAGATAAAGGTTCACCTGGACGTGCTGGCAGACGCCTTGCTTCGATGGGCTCAAGGTCGTTAATCAAATTAGCCGTATCAGAGCGAGGCCTGCTACAAATTGCCCCTTGTGGAATCGGGTATCATTGGAGTACGCCTAGTCAGGTCCGCGTACTCCACTGAACCCGTCACGTCCACAACCTTGAGCCCTAGGCCTCTGTCGTCTCTATTCTAACACTTCAGAGAGGAATAAGACTTCAATAGTATCGCAATGCGGCATTCAGCGACCGCTTCTACAGAACCTTCTTATTAGACTTCTCAACAACCATCATCACCGCCCTCTCTCTCTACCCCTCTCTTCCGTGTTTTATTGCCTACAACCACTTCCGGTGAAGTAAGTACTGTACAGCACCCCCCTTATAAAAATCTATCATGTGTTTTTTGGAAGTGTATTTTGATTGTAGCATGAACATTATTGACAAAGTGACTCTGACCGATAAAGAAATCAATATTATGAACCGATTGATTGGTTTGATTTTAAATAATTATGAACTAGTGTGTGATCACTATTATTATATAGAAATAGTTTCTTCGTTCAGCAACAGAAGAAAAATACGGAGGTTCGAAAGAAGTGTTGCGGCCGCATCACCTTGTAATCATTCCAATTTAGTATTTCTGTCAAAACTAGAAAAATACAATATCTGCGAATTGATCTGTCCACACTATTGCTCACTCGGATTCTGTTAAATCCTACCTGTCTAATGCCAAAACAAGCAACTAAAAAATAGCTTCTTTCCAGTTACTATTTGCGTGATGTTTTTATTTCTCTTTTAATTTGTAATGCAGATATTGTCGTCATTTTCATATGTGAATCCAAACTGTGAACTGAAACAAATATCTCTTATACGTTGTTTAGGAACATGTTATTATAAATGTGTTAAAGCCTATTTGTTACATATTTATCACTGTTGATATTGTTAGATTGTAAGCTCGTGAAGCAGTTTATATTTTAGAAAAAGTTTCGGCTCTATTTATTCGTTGGAGGGTCGCAATTGTTAGTTAAAAGAAAAGGGCTGAACATTTGCATTGTTTCCCGCAATTAGTCGCCAGTAAGTGCAGAGAATCGGCAATTTTTGCACCATTTAATTATATTAAAATTAACCAACAAAAAAAAAAGAATTTATTGTTAGATCTTGTCGTTTTAAAAACAAATATAAATATAATATATATTATACTTAATGTAGTAGTATTTATAAAAACAGAGTGTATAATCTGTATGCTTTCGATGTATGAAAATATATTTAATTATTATGTATTAAATAGCACCCAATTTAGATTAGATAAAGCCTTTCAACTCTGCACTTGAGGTAACTTGCTGCCAAAATCCCAAGGAGTTATTTCCTGGAGGCTGGACCACTACTTCGAACCAATTTCGACTTCTTATTCCCTATCATTAATTGTATCAAGTTCCTCTTTCGTACTGTTAATAATAATAAGTTATTTTACATAATAGATCACGTCGGTTACTGACATCGGAAGATAGAGTTTTATTGCGAAATAAAACGGATATCTCGAGCCACCGATGTCTAAAAACGGACGTACGGTATTTTTAATACCTACCTAGAATTTTAATTACGTAACAATCCGAATAAAAGATGTTCTTAGAAGTGGTTTAAGGAAAAACTCCACGGATTTTCGCGTGGAATGATATGCAAAAAGGAATTGGGCCGAATCTCGTTTCGTAATCTTATACCATCATTATAGTTCCACGACGTTTGTAGCTTTAAGTTTATTACTGCATCTTCTGATGAAAATAATTTCCTGAATCACCTGAATGGTATTAAATTGAATCGAAGTAACATCAAAAATGTCGAAAAACAATCGGCCTACCGTAGTTATTATACCTAATAAGTACTCCGTAGCTACACGTGAAAAAATACCATACAAATGCAACAGTAGGTATACTTACTAAAGAGATATAAAATATTTCTATTTCCAGCCTGGATATCCCTATAAATACCATAACTGCAACATCGTGGTGTATGAAATATATTTAAAAAAAGGATTGAGCATGCTTATAATAACAAAATGCTCGTCTTAAAACTTAGTTCCTGCATCTACAATATGATAAAACCACGATGTTAAGCATATGAATGAATATAAACATAACATTCCAACAAAACGTGTAGTTACAATTAGTCAGGCAAATTTAAACAAAACAAAAGAGCACAGGTGTAAACGTCATGTTCAGTACTAAATATACATGGATATTAATCCTTCACCCCTCTATTTCGTAATAAATTAACATGGACTTTGAAATTAATAGATTTATGCTACCACTAGAATTCGTACCGAAGTCAAAGACCATATATGAAAAAAAAAGTGAGAATGACATCAGGGATCTCTGACTCTTTCGCACTGTATAAAAGATTACGCTTACGCTTTACGTTGCCCAGCAACGGCGCGGTGTTTGGAATGAAGGAAAGAGAAAGAGATTCCTCTCGTCGTTTTTTCTCTCACTCGTTGAGATGCGAAACCTAGTAAGTCTGTAAGTGTAGACATGTAATAAGTGCTCAAATGAAACAGTGACGTGCACAATTTAAGGATGCAATTGAACGATCCCTTTGACGAGATGTTTACACCTTCAATAACTTATTTTTCCTACGACCTAGAGGGTTAGTATTTAAGTCTCAGGGTCTATACGGCGGCTTCTGAATCCAACTTCCTACTGCTGTACGAAAACCGTATAATATTTATTCATGTCGACTTGCACCGAGCACTAAAATTGCACATGTAATTTGCACAGCACACCAACTTAGTAAGTGTCAAGATGATGTGTACGTAAAAAAAAAAACATTTAAAATTTACTAACACTAATAAAACGTAATATGTATATCTACAATATATATATATAGATNCTGAGGCAGTAATATTCCACAGATAATCTTTCATTCTCTTCTGTCTTTATTTCGTCCGTCTCAACTTTCTCACCCGAACCACCACCCACCCATTCCCACGATTCCTGAAAGCAGGCTGAAGAGGACCTTCCGCCCTACCTTCCGGCGTAGTCCGGAGGGACTGCCCGCCCACCAGCATTACTGGCTGTTGGGAATGAAACACCTAAAAAGTTTAAAGTTTAGGTTTAGCCTAGTTTTAGGGAAATGCAAAGATTAGCTCAAGATAGGAAATAGTGGAAGTGCGTGTCCAACCAGTCTTAGAACTGACGACCTTATGATGACCAAAAGGTTCGCGTTCGGACCCATTAGAACCTTGTTACGCCACTATAATTCGGTCAATGCCATTCATCATTTTCACCAACTTCTCCTACGGATCTGATCCTGACAATTAATCTTTTCTTATAGTGTTTAGTCTATAAATTGCCGTAAAATTTCCTTTGCGTCAACATGTATCCCGTCCCGACCTGATTTTATGACAACGTAAAATTCTTGAGTCCTTTTAATGCTACAGTGCTCTAATAGGTTACCAGGCGCGTAAAGTGTCAAATAGAGAGTGTAAAAATTTTATGGCAAGTTAAGACTGAGAGCCTAGTGTAACTTTGACTTTTATTACTTTTACGACACAGGTGAAAGTGTCGTCATAACTCCTACAATATATCTCCAAGTTGAACGACGCCATATACAATAATTAGATACATATATTGTAGGTAATTACAGTCTAAACTAAATTCATTTAAGTACAAATAAATTTTAACAAAAACATATAGAAACAACTTTTCCTCAACTAGCGCTAGTGCTCTATTTCAAACTCGGATCTTTCCAATTCGTTAAAAAATTGCAGTTATTTAGATCCTACATCTCACTCTCCAGAAGGGTCAGGTCGAAGCATATGTACAAGAAGTTTGAGCTATTTTTTGTACGTACTGAACAATTCAACCAGTTACTACGATTTACCAAAACTTTTCTCTGCATGATATTAAACATTAACTCTTTGTGCTATACCGACCTACCATTAAATTCACTAGGGGCAACCTCCTTCTAACCTCAATCCATATATAATTCAAAAAAAGGCTGTGCTCATTGGTATTTTCAAAATGCTTTAGGGAGGAACTTTGACGAAAATATACCCAATATAAGTTTTCGAATTTAGATTAATTGAGTCTGCAATAGATGATGGACCTTAGTAACATTGTATTCATTGATTTTCTCTTCTAATTTACTTTTTTCTTACAATTCCTTGGGACAATTCAAAAACGTAAATCCCTTTGCTCTTAAAAAGGTGTCTAAGTTTCTTATTAAGGTCATGCAGCTCAGTTTATTGGCTTTACTCTCCATTGGCTTACAACTAAGTAATTGTCGCATTAACTAACCAGATACAATTTTTACTGTTTTACAATGCATGTAAAGGTGTTAGTATAATATTTAACTTGCATAAAATTTAATGAGTCACTCTGTGTAATAACCAGAGAGAATGTACAACGGAGGAGTCGTTGTGTGAAACTAAATTAGAGCAGTAGGTCAGTAACTACGCTGACAATAAATTTCCTCTAGAATTTATTGTACTACATGGGTTAACACGGAAATTCTTCTTTTGTTTCCGCTGCCTAATACAAGAACGTCAAAGCTGTTCCTAATGTTAACGTTAATTAAAAAAACAAGTAAATGTACAGGTAGATCTCAAGACATATGAAGGTCTAAAAACATTCAATTTTGTACTGTAGATTTAGAAAAAAAAGCTTTTGACAATGCTAAATGAGACAAAATATTAAATATTCTTAAAACTGTAGGGATGAGTTACAGAGATAGAAGAGTGATACTTAGTTTGTATAAAGATCAACAAGCAGTTATACGATAGAGCTGGGACAGCAATGTAGAGAAGTAGAGTCAGACATCGAAGACGCGATCAACATCATTAAAGACAGTACAACTGTAGGAATAGATATACAGGGACAAAAGATTACTATGTTTAGATTTGTAGGTGATATAGTAGTATTAGCATCTAGCAAGGAGGAATTAGAGATAACTTTAAATAAAATGGAAGCTGTATTGGCAAAACAGTACTGTAAGAAAATAAACAAAATTAAAACAAAAATACTGGTATGCAAGGGAAGAAAAAGTAAAAAATTAGAAGAAGCGGCTGATTTTAGGTATCTGGGTGAGATAAGTCAGGACGGAAGGAGTAGTTGGGATATAAAGCAGAGGATAACGCAAAGTCGAGTCACCTTAAATAAAAAGAAGTCACTTCTATTCTCGCAAACGGTTAATTTACAAATTCGAAAAAGATTTTTAGAAATGTGGCGTTACAGGCGAATGATGAGGATACCGTAGATAGAAAAGGTTAGAAATGAAGAGATATTAGAAATAGTAAGAGAACAGAGGACTCTATGGAAGTCAATAAAAAATAGGCGATATAGGTTGTTACGACACCTTCTCAGGCATGAAGATCTAGTCAGAGACATATTAGAGACAGAAACAGGAGTTAAGAAGAGTAGAGGTAAACCTAGATTATATTACTGTGAGCAAATAGTTAAGGATGTGGGATGTTCTAGTTTTAGGGAAATGCGAAGATTAGCTCAGGATAGGAAAGAGTAGAGGTGCGTCTCTAAGCAGTCTTAGGACTGACTATCTTATGATTATGATGGTCCTGTACATGGGATCTACTTCTTAAAAAGATCAATCTGACGGTCGATCAGGGTCGACTATCGAATGTTGCTAGCCGTCTTACTAAATCAGATTCAATAATAACGTTGTTATCTGGGTTCGTTTAGATTTTGTTACGTTGTTAATTTAATTAATGGAAGTTTCTGGAAATATAGCTAATATACTAAGTGCTTACATAGAGGCCTTCGAAATTTTAATTCTAAATCGCATCGCTTCACACACTATCGACCGATTTTTCACCATAATGATCAGTGAAATTATAGAGGGAACGATTTAGAAATTACAATGCAGATTTTACGTAAAAAAATAACTTTTTGGGAAATTGAATTTAATCTTAAAAAAAATTTTGGACTAAGACTGGTTTTTCGGTTAGGCAATCAACGATGAGACTTTTTTTTTTTTCGAAACATGACTAATTTCACCCCTTTTTCATTGAAACTAGTCCTTGGTGAAATTATTTTGCTCAAACAGTTTTACATCATTTACCGACTAGTTACAAAAGGTGAATGCAAACCTTATTGTATTTATAATTTGATTATTATCACTGTTAGTGTTTGTAACGCTGAAGAAAATGTCGTTTCGACTTACTGACTAATTAATTACTTGAAAGGTCTGGGATTTCGGGTTACGCACGAGTTTGGAAGATATTACACCTAAATAACTACATATATACCCAAAAAGTTTCACAATTTCCCCGAATTAAGTACCAGATTCTGCCAATAAAGCAGCAGTTAGTTTCTATTTTCGGAAATATATTCAAAATCAAAACACACGCTCGTCTGATATTATTTTCTTGTTTGACGAAAATATTTTGTTCTGTTTGCTTTACGTATTTTACTTAACTTTTTATTCAGTATGTTACACATTTTAATTTTATCCGTTTTTCCATACTATCAATATTATCCTTTTTACCTTGCCTAAGTTAATATTAATACAAACATTTGATCCACACTATGTAAGCTGACAAACAGTTGTAGAATTTTGACTTTATTAAGTGAATTTGATTTAGAAAAATTTTATTTCTATAAGGAAAGATTGTAAGAACGAGTAATCAGGGATTTAGTGGAAATGTTAAAATTAATTTTTTAACTACATTTTACAATTTTAGAATGTTCATTTCTATCGCTGGAGAATTGTGGGATTAAAATCAAAACCCTTAAAAAATTTGATTTAATAAAAGGCGGTATATCCAAATCATCGAAAAAACTAATTCCCATGCAACCCAAAGAATTTTTAGATTTAGATGTTTCGATTGGAAGAAGAAGATATGGAGGAGATTCCGAAAGTACGAAGGTGTAGAAGGACCAAACATACTTTTTTTGTTAGAGTTAGACTTGCAACTCAAAATTTCTACTTTCGACTTGTAACTGCAAATTTCAACTTACAACTATGGCGACCTAACGTAACTTAACTCAATCCTAGCCTAAACTAAGGTAATTTTAAGAAAGGACAAGAGTACTACAAACTCATTTCTTTCGTTTTTTTTTTACCTACTGTAACGTTGTGATTACATACAGTCAATCGAACGAAAGCCTTAAGTTCAATTAATCGTTTAGTTTACATGGTTGAACCAAACCTAATCCAACCCAATTCTAACCTAATAAGCAATTCAATCACAGACAATAATCGTCACAACACCACTGATGGATAAAATTATGGTTTGGACTAAAAGATCGTGGTCTAAATGAACTGTTAGGCCCAGACGTTTCGTCGGCAAATGCGACAGACAGCTGAAGACTTCAGTCACAGTAATGAATGGACTTAACAGTTTTTTTTAGACCACGGTCCTTCAACTATAATCATTATTCTACGATACCATTGATTTCGGCCGTTATAACCTATAGGGTTGTTCGGAAAGTCATTTCGTTTTTTTTTTGTGGAAATGAAAGACATTTTTCGTATAATAAACAAATACTTTATTAAATTATATATTGACCGTTCTGGTCCAACACCTTTTGCCATCTTTCTGGTAGTAGCATAATTCCACGCTCATAAAATTTTTGGTCTTTGCTGGCAAAAAACTGATC